TATCAGTAAGTAAATAGTCTTCCAAAAATTAATTCTAAATCAGAATGTAAAAGTGTATCTTTATTTTGACTAGCCACATTCTATTTATTAATATTAGTTTTATTGTTATCTATTTATTAGTTTATATGTATTGCATAAGTTATATATATTACATAAATTATACATATAAACCTATGTTTATATATATATATATATAACTTGTAGATCCAACAATGAGTTAAGAGAAACAGTAAGTACCAGATAAGATTCTAAAATGTCNGGATATATATATATATATATATGACTTGTAGATCCAACAATGAGTTAAGAGAAACAGTAAGTACCAGATAAGATTCTAAAATGTCCTATTAAATAAGCAGTTCTTACATCTAATATGATAGCTTTAAATAAAATTATTGGAGTAAAGGGTAATTGTATTCCACGTTTTTCGTACCATTCTTCCGGTTTTAAAAAATAGGAGCAGTGCATATGACTTTTCCATTGATTCAAAAGATTCTTAATCAAAATCTTGTATCTGGGGTTGCCGTAGGCAACTAAAATGCGACTATTTGCAACTATTTTCGGCTGGAGGTGACAGGCAACTTTTTTTACCTGTAAAGGCTATGAAAGCAACTATTTTCGGAAAAAAAGACTTTTCGACCCTATTACCTATGCTTTGGGTTGATAACCTGTTATCCACGAGAGCTTCAGAACACTATGAGTTTTATTTTCTTGAAAAATAAAAATTTTTGAATATTTTAAATTGCACATTGGAGTCATCACTTTTGAATGTGCTTAATTTGCAGGGATTCCATAGTATGTATGCTTTGTTTCTTGATCGCCTCTTCAACAGTTATTGCTAAGAAAGTCTACAAGGTTTTAAAACCCTGATTTTTAATACCATATTACAATGTGAGCAGTTAGAATTTGAATTATCACTTTTCACAATATATATATGCATATTTGATAAATAAATTATTGATAAAAGGGGAAAATGTTTGTAAATTTATGTTTTTTTAGTGAATTCTAGTAATTAAAAGTATTTAATTTTCTGTAAATATGCTAATTTTTTTATATGAAAATTTAGTGCTAGGACACTAACATTTATATAAAGATTATCATATTTGCCACCAACTTGGTTAAATGGATCAGGGTATGTGACAATTAAGTCATATAATAAAATTTTAGTCATATTATTGAAAAAATTTTGTTCTGGCAACGATTTTCATGCTCTATGTAACTATTTTGTTCATTTTTTTCTGTGGCAACCCTGTGCATTCCAAAGAAATATCACAGAATTCTACAATTTATGTTATGAAACCTAAGCAAACTCATGTTCCTCACATTTATTCCTTTTGAAAACAGAGTGCAAAATTGATAGAATAGATATAGAGCTTTTTAAATCTAATATATTCTTGTTTCTTAATATCGAAGATCGAGGTAATAGTAAGTTTCAACGTCCTTTTTCTATAGACCACTGTGTTTTCTGTCCGTAGATAGAAAAACTATGGTTTTACTTTCATCTTATTAAATCTGAATTAAAAAAATAATTTCTTATATATAATGTATATAAAAAGAAAATTAATATGGTTAAAAAATGACACACAAATTTTGTTATAAAAAAAGTGAAGAATGTGAACAACCGCCAATTGGCCTTTCTGGATAAAACTCAAAACTTCTGTCTTCATGTTAGAAGAATGATGTATAAAAATAGTGTTAAGGCGCAATAGATTACAGACAAACTTTCTATGATTTTTTTAGAGAAAAAATAAAGTCAATTGATATTTTAATTTAGGGTCCCTTTAATTATTTCAATATTTTATGCACCTATAGTAACAAATCTTATATGATTTAAGTATGCGATTTAAAAGATTAATTTATCATTTTGTAAAAATACTATTCATATTATAAATTATATGATGGCAGAATTATTTAAGTAGTTAATTGAGCGTTAGGAACCATATACTTTGGCAAAAATGTTTAATGACACAAATGTTTTGTTCTTTTCCACAATTATTAATTCTTTTTTTTATTTTTCAATGAGTGAAATATTGAAAACAGTTACTAATATTTATAAGCTATTAAATTTTTAAACTAAAGGGACGTTTTTTATGTATTATTTTTTTTTGTGTATATGAAATTTCCCAGTTTGGTAACTTTTACTATTTAGGTCTCTTTGATGATTTGTATTGAATTAACAATTTAATCGTTGAAATTTGAACGTAGGACTAATTATTAATTTACCTAATGTGATTTTTTGTATGTTTCTTTTCTGTTTAATTCTCAACACATCTTTGTCAAAAGTAAGTGCTAAGATAAAATGAGAATCCAATATTTTTGTTGTTAAAGAAGAGTTAAGTATTAAATTTCTTTTCCAGTTATTTTCTTGTATTTTTTCTCTCATTACAATTTCATTTTATTTCTTTATTATTTGTCTTTAAAAAATTTAAGTATAAGATATAGTTTTTTAAAATATAGTTGATTCCCTCTTTTTTTTGTTATTATTTTAAAAGTGTTGATTCTGATAAACTTTTATATTTATACTGGTGTGGCACTTTTTACAGAAAATAAGGTACCTGAGATTTTCTGAGTGCTTGTAATTTTTTTATATCTTCTCCCTGTACATTATAAAGGGTCCTACTTCTATGATAATTGCTATGTGTCTAAAATTTCTAAGTTTGTTAAAAAAAAAAAAGCTTGGGACTTATTTAGAAAAATAATATTTTTTGTTTTCACAGCTCAAAATCTAAAGCATAACAAGTTATCTTAATCATTGATGTTCATATTGCTGTTTTATCTGATTATTGTTTTACTTTTTAAAAAGTAAGATTATTTAAAATGCTAGTTTTTACAATTTAGTTGAAATGATTGATTTCACTGTATTCATGTTGAATTTACCTTTCACTTTTTTAAAAGTTTATTAGTCTTTTTTTTTTTTTTTGTACATTTATGTATATTGACCTGGAAAAGTCAAGGAAATAATTAAATCTTTTCAAGCTGAACCCTGTATAAAAACCCTCTTCCCTGCACAGAGTATCACATATAGAATTCAATCTTTGCATTTTTTAAAAAAAAAAATAATAAAAGACTTATAGTTAGTCTTCAGTAAGAACTCCCTCCGCCACAAAGTCTTGAGGCTTTCTGCTGCTACGAAAACAAGAATAGCGCATTACAGAGAGCATAGCTTATCTTCACTCTCGGGTTAGCACATTAGACCAGAGAAAGAAATCACATTTCTCTTGCCGAACCGAGTCAAAACCTGTCCTAAACAGTGACCCCATACCTCTACTTGAAATAGTTATATCTCATTACCATAGTCACCGTCACAGATCTTGGCGAATGGCTAGGGGAGTTCTTACTTTAGACAAACTATAAGAGTGTGACCATTTAGTTATGGCTGTAAATAAATAACTTTTCCCCCATCTATACAAGTTTTCAATTTGGATTACAGAAATCAATTTGGATCCTAATTACATTTATAGAGATACTTCTCCTTTTGCTGTTATTTAAAACCATTTTAATCTTTCTTTTTTATTATTTTTTCCTTCATGAACAGTAGAGCAAATAAGTGAGGATTAATTTTTCCATGTGATAAATCTTTTCTTTGAAATGCTTGATAATTCCTTAACTTTTAATAGATATATTGTGTATAATGTCAACCAAGTTAACATCAAGTATTTGTTGAGTGTTGATTTCAAATGGAAGTATTGAGTTTACTAAACAAAATTTTATGAGTACCTTAGAAGAGAGACTGTTAATTTGTTGCAGATAGTTTTATTTGTGATATTGAAAATATTATCGGGGATAATTTTTTTTTTACAGAACTGTGATTATTCATTATTATGGTTCATTATATGTTGTTAATTTGTTGCAGCTGTCTTTTATTTGTGATATTGAAAATATTATTGGGGATAATTTATTTTTACAAAACTGTGATTGTTCATCATTCTAGTTCATTATACGTCAGTGGGAACTACTAAAATTAATTGTTCTCACACTAAAGCATATGAAAATCATATATTCCCATTTTTTAGCATTCATACAAATAAAATTTAAAAAAAAAAACACTATGGAAATCTGGTTGTATCAAAACTGCAGAATCATTAGTTTTTATAATTAGTATTTCATTATTTCAAATTTAAATATAGATAAGCTTAATTGTGTAATGTATGGTCTGTCAGTAATGCCAACTGTGCAATCAGTGAACGTTATAAGCTGAAATTCTTGTTTTATTCACACCTGTATGCTGGAGGTACTGACAGCCACTAGGTAATGAGGTCATCAAACACAGCGTCATATTACATCTTTTTTTGTCATGGTTTGTAATTTATATGTATTTTTTAAATAAGAGATAATCACTTTACTTTTTGTTATGCTGTGTTGGCATAAACATTATGTGAGAGTTTAAATATAACTGTCACTCGTACTTTAGTATTCATTACTACCGTTCTTTTCCTGTTAATTTGTGTTTTCACTATGGTCGTCTTGTATTCATCATCCTCAGTTTATGATTTAGTCCTATCACCATGCGTTTTATGCCCACTATCTTATGATTAAATTAATGTTCAAGTTAATGTAAGTGTCCGCCGACCGGCCTGTGTAGGGGGCAGGGAACTGTCCTTGCATCAAAAAGGTCCTGGGTTCGAATCCCAGGCAAGCCATGGATGTTTCTTTCTCTCTGTGTGTTCTATGTCCTTTCTCCTTTGTGTGTGAGAACCTTTCCTTTCATGTCCTTTCTCCTTTGTGTTTGAGTTACCTGCCCTATAAACGGGTTGTGGTTGTGTGAATGACGTGGCGGAGGTCGAATTCCTGGCCATAGATGACGCCACTGAAAAACAGGAACAATCGCACCCCACTGCCTAAACAGGCATACGACAAAAAAAAAATTTAAGTGTCTGAAGTCCTGATTTGCATAACATTAGATCTGTCTTCAGCAAATGGAACCATATGTATTCTTCGCAGTCAGAGCGTTCATGTTTTTTGTTAAAATGAGGTGAGCCAAAAAAAACTAGTACAGTGGGTATGTCATAAGTATTTTATTTGAAAACTAAGCCATAACAATATCATTGCAACATACTAATTGACAAGTTTTCATTTGATTGTTCAGTTAATAGTTAGGATACTAAGATATAAAAAAATTATAAAAATTAACTTTCATAAAATCAAAATTTTTATTTGAAAAAAAAAAATAATAAAAAATTACAGCACAGATGTTAATATAAATAAGATACATCAAAATCCTTAAAAACATTTGCCCATCTAAAATTATGGAAGTTGAAAGGGGTGTTTGTTGTGACAACAGAAAGTAGCCAATAAAACTGCTTGATAATATTCTTCTGTAAAAGAAAATAAAAATGTATGAAAAGCAAAGTTAAGATAATTGATTTTTTTATAACTTATGGCACTTTTAAAACAGACTGTTTCATCGGCTTTCTTTTTTTATTCAATTTTCCCTCAATCTAATTTCAAATTTCAACAAGTTTATTTTTCCAGTAATTCGAAGCATTTTTTGTCTCTTATAATTGTAACTATAATTTTTTTTTAAATTTAATCTTGTAACATTGTGATAATAACACATTTGTTTCACAGCCAAGACTCTAGGACTAATACAAAACTAATTATTCCCTTTTTAAATATCTTACAACTTCTCTCAAAATTCATAACTTTTCTTAACATTCTTCTTCCCCCCTCCCTTTTTTGTATCAGAACGATTCCCACAGTACTTGAAAAAAACATTGAATTTTGTTGAAAAAAAATAAGGGGCCAGAAAACTCATTGGAATTCTGCCAGTGGGTACTTGCAAAGAGCAGTAAAAAAATAATAAATAAACTTGAGCAAGATGCAACTTCTGATAGATGCAATTTTTAATGCTCGAAGAGTGAAAAGGGGTTCAAGAAGATGCAAAAAATATTTTCTCCTAGATTTTTTACACCAGACTATTGTTCACCTCTGATGTTTAGAAAGCTGAAATTTCTAGCAAATTTTAGTTTTTCGTCTTAGTCTTAGAATGATAACTAGTGTTTCGTCGATTTAGAAATATGTTCAATTTGTTAACTTCATTATTAGGTTAATATTGTTATCCTGTGATATAATATGTGATCCTATTTATTATTTTAGTTTTTATAAGTTTCATTAGTCTATTATATTGTTTAACGTATTTTTGGAGTTCTATTTTATGCATGCAGTATTTATTAGATGATATTCATCATCCTAACATATTAGCGTATTAACTTGCTGTTGGTATTTTTAACTGTATATAAATGTTTTAATGCATATGCAATTTTATTCAATTTAGCTAGGAACTTATTTGACTTACTTCGTGTATTTCATATCATATTCATAACTTTTTACTTGATTTCATTCCTACCCTGTTATGTGATTTTATTCATACCTTTTATCTGATTCTAAACTGCTGTTTGTAGAAAATGCAACACCATGAAGGAATCATCAGAATCAAATGAAATATTATTTTAATAATGGATATAGGATATTATGCAAATTAATAAAGTTTCAGAGCCATCGCGCGTGCGTGGCGCGCGCAGCGCCCTCTGAATTGATGCTGAAAGCGTATAAATAAAGTGCTGTAGCGGGACGTTGAAAATAGTCTATGATTATTTGTTAGTGGCAAACGTTTAGTGAGACCTGAGTATGCCTCCACGACGGAAGAATAAGAAATTCAAGCAACTTACGGAGTTTGAACGAGGGAGGATAATCGGCCTTCGAGAAGGAGGATTTTCCTATCGCGCAATAGCAGCTCGTATGCAGCGGAACAGTTCCACAGTGATGCGAGTTTGGAAGCAGTGGACCGACGAGCACCGAACAACTCGAAAAACAGG